GCCGTGCAGAAAGGCTCCCCCACACTCCTCTCCCTTGACACCAGCCAATCCTGTACATACAGTGGCCCACCCCTCCCTCCTCTCCGCCCAGTCCCCACACGTGGCTCTGGAGGCAAGCAGAGTCCAGCCCACACAGCATGTCTCTCACACACACAGCATGTCACACACACACACAGCATGTCACACACACACACACACACACACACGCACGCTGACTCCTAGATTCAAGGCAAGTTTGTTAAGCCCTGGTTTTGACAATCAACTAAAAGTAATTTTAAAATTTTCACTTTTTGTCATACTTGCTGTTCTATATTTCTGCAATTTTATTTACTGTTCAACTTGGAGATTTTTCCTCTGGTGTCTACCAAAAAAAGGTGCATCACAGCAATGCATGTTATGGCAATGCAAGTGTGTGACAGGGCCCTTAGGCCCCTTTCACATGATGGGTCTAATCAGCTCCACATCAGTTTTTCGGACAGTCCAATCAACCCTATGGACTGGGTGTAAAATGGACTTGTTACTGTTTACACATGCCTACCTTTGATCCAAACCTGTCCGCTAAAAAAAAAAAAAAAAAAAAAAAACACAACACAACACAACAACAACCCACACACAGAAGAGGATCTGCTACCCTCAGTTTAGGTGGACTGCTCTGCAAAAATTGAGCGGACACAGATCTGTAATTTTCCTGCTCCTATCCGCAGGAGATCAGCGGACAGATCCACTGCTAATCAAAACAGTCTGCCCCGTGTGAAAGCGGCCTCTGTGTTACACTAAACTAGGTATAATGATGTAAAAATCAAGTAGGTCCGGTTGCTAAAATTTTCTTCCAGCGAGATCCTTACATATGGGGTGCCAATCAGCGTACCTCTTAGTTCAGTTGCTCCCATCAGAGTACCCCATTATATCAGGTGTTCCCATCAGTGTACCCCCTTAAATTAAGTGTCCCCATAAGAAGTGCCCACTTACATCAGGTGTTACCATACAAGTGGTTCCCCCATCAGTGTGCCATCACCACATGTCCCCATCAGGGTGCCCCCTTACATCAGGAGTTCCCACTTACATCAGAGTCTCACGATAGATCAGTAGATTCCATTAGAGAGGGGCGAGAGCTGAAAGGAGAAGCATGCTGCAGGGGGCTGGGCACACATGTGAAATCATTGGTTACTATGATGCCGGAAATCCTAACAACCAATGACTGGACTGAGCTTTCAGCAGGTCCAGATCTGGATCGCGGTCCGTCATTTAGTGAAGGATGCACTAAACCCTAACCATGAATTTCTCTTACCTGCTCCCTTTTATATAACATTGGAAGCAATATATAATCATTTAGTAAACGTAAAAAAAAAACCTGTTCGATCTGGTCATGAATTCACCTGTCCTATATCCTGCACACACATCTAGTAGGAGAGCCCCAGTCATGTGACCTACCAAAAGTCACATGACTGCTTCTCATCGAATAGCAGAGAGAATTTCGTAAAACTTCACCGACGACACACTGAACGGTATTTTTTTTTAAATAGTGCTGGCAACAGGAGCATTGATTCAAATTGGTTATACTGTGGGGATGCCTTTATTGCAAATCTGCAGATAAATGAACTGTGGCTTTGTAATTTTCTTAAGAGTGTATCTAAACCTTAACAAAAAAAACAAAAAAAAAAAAAGTTATATTTTGCAGCATGCATGGACAAATCTCTCCTGCCAGATATTATATTCTGACAGCTGGCACCCACGGCTGTCAGAACACCCAAAGAGTGGCTGCATCTGACTGGATGCAACTGCTGCTCGGCTGACAATTTCCTGCTAATCTAAGAATGGAAATCCAATTAGATTTCCATATCAAAGAAAGTTCAAGCCATAGGTAGCACTGTTGGCACCCTCTCCTCTAACATTCTCTGAATATGGCCAACCTAGGAGCAGGTAGAAGATAGGGCTTAGGAAGCCACATACGGTTTGCTAAATCATGCAATTCCTAAAATTACAATGACATGGTGCAGTTACTGGATTTGATGAACAGTACTACTCATGAAGATGGACCCTTTCCCAAGGATTCTTGGTTCAAGCCAAACAGAGCTGCCATTAGCAACTTCTTCAGTGATTTGTATCTAAAGCTTTGATAAGGTATAAGGAATAAATCATGTGAATGGAGATTTTTTGCGAAAATAGTACAAAAGAAAAGAAAAACAGCTGTAACTAGCCAAGCTGCCAGCATGACGTGTGTTATGTAAGGTTCTTATCATTACAATGGTAGCTAAAAGCAAACTATTCACTGCACCTTTTCAAGTATTTTAAACAGACAGGAATAAATGATGGTCCAGAAACCATCTGTTAGCATTGGATTGTCCTGTAAAAGAATACACAGAACCATCAAAATTGTGAAGGAGAGAAAAAAAACCCACCACAAGCCCTGCTGAGTCTTTCATACAACAATAGAAAGTTCATGAAAATGGAGACATTCAGGCCTGAGTGAGCAGAGGTCTTGACAGGCTTGACCTCACCATAAAACAATGGACCTGTAATACACAGGCATGGCTCTTAGAACAAATCATAGACAATAGGAATGGAAGGCTTTTGTTTGTGATGAATGCCACTGATGGTTTGGAGTCCCCTGGTGATTTGGAAGAACCAATTCAGCACCTGTACTGAGGCTTCTTCTAGTGTTGCTAGGGCCAAGGTTCCTCCTCCTTAGCATGCTGCTATATTGGCTGTGTGTGATAAGCCACATCACACATCTAACAATGTACTCTGGTCTAGAATAGATTTTTATTGCAGAGTCACTATTTTCGAAGCACAAATAAACAGGGCTTTCTGCAGCACAATATAGGTGACAGTTTACCATATAAATGGTAGAATTTCTGTCAGGATAGCAGAAAAGCTGCTAATACTGCTATCAGAGCCATGCATGCATGTTCAAAACTGTAATCGCTTATACAGGAGGCCAGCGCATCCCATCTGCTGGACCCCACAGCAAAATTAACCTAATCCCAATAATAGCAGGTGCCTGGGAATATTAGTGATGAGCATTTTTATGTCACCCTCTCCAAATGTCAAAAGAGATCAACTCAATAATCAAACCATTTGAGCAGAATTCATTACAGTAGGAGACCGAGTTATTTCTAGAATAAACGGATAAGGCTGAAAGCAGCTTTTACTAGAGTGGATAGATTTTTGAATTTATAAAAAGGACACCAAAAATATAAAACTATCAACATAAAATATAGCTTCCAAGAATAAAATGTTTTTCAAAACCTAAAGCTGGACATACGTGAATCAAATTTCAAACAATTCACACACCAGCTGTCAAAATACAATAGCCCGCAGCAGCAGATTCATCCATCCATGCTGTTCGTGTGAGAAGCTGTTAGATTTCTTTAGTTAAGCCTGCAGGCTAAAAAAGAAATTTATACATTTATGGATAGCTTTACTTTACCAAAAACATTTTTTTCTTGTATAATGTGGGGAAGGTTACCCCCTCACCGCCTGATGCCTTTCAACTGGACAGAAAGTGAGGGCCAATGTTCCTAATGGGAACACTGCTACTGATAAACCCCTAAAACAGGTTCTAATCCATTACCACTGCATTTAAAAAAGATGAATGGCAGGAGCTGGGCTTAAAGCCATCCTCACTGTGATTTTACAATCCTAAAATTGTTTAAACTTGGGTAAAAGAAGACGATACACTCAAAATATGTGGTATTTGGTGGAACTGTAATAAATCCCAATAGAATTACATCAATGTCCATAATCCTAGCCATTTTAATATTTACTGCTGTTCTTATAAAATATATTTCCGGCTGCCGATCACAAATGGAAAACTAAACTGCTTACAAATTAAAATTCCAAAGCATCACATCCTGTATGTACATACATTTATATATTAAGGAAATACACTCTTCTAGACAATGCTACATAGAGTAACAAACAGGAACAAACAGTATTGAAGATATGGGCAGCACAGTGGCTAAAGGGTAAGCACTTCCGCCTGGCAGTACTCAGGTCGTCGGTTCGAATCCCAACCACGGCACCACCTGCCTGGAGTTTGCATGTTCTCCCTGTGCCTGCGTGGGTTTCCTCCGGGTACTCTGGTTTCCTCCCACACTCCAAAAACATGCTGGTAGGTTAATTGGCTCCGGTCTAAATTGTCCCTAGTATGTGTATGTATGAATGTGAGTTAGGGGCCTTAGATTGTAAGCCCCTTGAGGGTTAGGGACTGATGTGAATGTACAATATATATGTAAAGTGCTGCGTAAATTGACGGCACTATACAAGTACCTGTAATAAATAAGATAAGGATGAGTAGGTAATAATTTAACAAGTCAGCTTGCTAGTTATAGCTGCAGAAATAGTATTTCAGTTGGCAAGGAACTTGTTATACAAATCAGTAATAGCCGATTGTCTTATTCTAATGACTCATTTTTTTTTTTTTTTACAGCCAAGATGCAGATTGCTATAGATGTACAGGAAGTCAAATTAACATCTAGAACAATTCTTGGCCACTTTAATAGAGTCATTTGTTTTTACCATGGAATCCAACAAACAAACGTCTATCAAACACTGAAAGGAGAAGCAACAAACAGAATAAAAATAAACAGAACTTTAAAATGGAAACATTTTTGAAAGAATATGTCACAAGAAAAAAACTGCACGGAAAATATGCAAGCCCTAGAGCTCAGCCCGTAGCGTATTCTAAAGTTTGACATATATACTGTATATACATTTTTTTGTTTTTTTTTTTGTTAGGCCTACAGGAATAGATTCCTCCATCCATGCTATACAATGCAGATGGACTTTTTTTTTCGGGTGATTATTGTATTTTGACAGCCAGTCCCACCGCCTGGCAAAATGCCCAAATTGCAGTTGCATATGACTGGATGCAGCCTCTGCTCAGCTGACAATTTTTACAATTGAAGGTTGTCGGGCGGGAAGGTGGAGACAGCCATCAACAGACTGAGATTTGGCGAGCTCGTCAGAAAGCAGATGAACTTTGCTGTGCTGATCACGTGCACTCTCCCATGAAAAAAAACAACAACCTCTCTAGCAATACACACCAAACTGAGCATGTGCACATTGTCTCCACAAGATAAGTCTTATCAGGAGAGGAGGGTGACACAGGAAGAAGAGGATCAGAGAAGACAGGATCAAACAGCATTTTTACACAATTCAGCGGATTACCTCCTTAGGTTCCACAGTGAGTATATCAAGGATGCTTTACTGCATATAACATACTGATTTTACTGTTGTGGGTTTAGTAACACTTAAAGAGTAGGGCTGATTGCTTCTCTACCATTCCAGAGAATCCTTGTATCAGTGAATCCAGTGTTTCCTCTGGCTGAGGTCAAGAGGCGGTCAGCTGAAGTCACGGTTTACACCCCGGCCAACCAGAATAAGCCTTGTAATTACTGATAAAAATACCAGGCATCTCCTGAATGGCAGAGAAGCACTCAGCTCAACTCTTTTTAATGCTGGCAGCAGACGGGACGTTCTCTGTGCTGCTGCCAAAACACAGTGCATGCTTACTGTATGCAGCCAATAATACAATACAGACAGAGGCTGCATCGTTTATTAAAGGGAATGGTTTGCTTGGCCCAAACTAACTATTTCAAACTAAACTAGAACTTGGAATCCTATTTTTTTTAACAGGATTGTTTATTAAATCTTATCACAGCGTACATGTAAATCATAACAGAATTGCACAATAATAGGTTGATGAGCTAAAGCCACAAAACACATGTAGAGAAGGAGAAAAATATGTCACCAGCACAGAACAAAGTCAAGCACGAGGTCTCCAGTGTCTCACCACCTAGGTCCTTACAGTAGATGTCATCCAGAGACCATGCCTACTGCACCATTTCAGTTAGTCAGAGGTTAGAATAGAAAACACGGGAGGGGGAGGGGACAGAATAAGGATACACTCCAGGGGTCAAATGGGGGGATTGGAATTCTATTTAATCGGCCACAGCACATCCTTGCACTCTACCATGCTGTAATCATCTTCAGAAACACTGAAAACAGCACTAGAACCTTGATTGGTTCCGAGTACAGACCCTCTTCAGGGAAGCACAAAAAGGCAGGAAATGTCACGATATCCAAAAAAAAAAAAAAAAAAAATTAAATTTGCCTTTAACTTTGCATCAGCTAAATGTTTAATGTGATTTTCATTTACAGACCATTCACAGCTAGACACACTTGTATACAAAGGCTGGCATGAAAGGAAGCCATCCATTGTATACAACGGTCATGTGACCTGCTGTGATTGGTCACAGCAGGTCACATGGTACTGGAAACGGGGCTGGTACACAGATCTGTCATCGGCCGTGTGCAAGGTACACAGCCGGTGACAGATCGTGCCGCAGAGCAGCCCTGCAGGCAGGCACACTGCGCTTGCCTGAAAGGACGCCATGTGGCGTCCACCCAGAGGGACGAGCTACTCGCCCGGCTGCCATCTGGCTATAGGCTGGGTAACAACTGGTTAAGAAAATTTGACTTTGCAACCGCTAAGTCACCCAGGTACATGATTGGTTTACTTTAAAAAGACCTATTCACAATTGTTCATTTTTATCAAGCAAAACTCTTTTACAATACATGTAAAGCAGCTAAATAGGCAAGAATTTGCCTTCTGCTTGATATCTAGCGCAACTTAAAATGGAACTGCACGGCATTTATGCAACAAACAAAAAATGCTATACAATTCGTTTTTAATATTAAAAAAACCTACTCCATCCATGTCTCCATGCATTATTTAGATGAAAAATGATTTTGAAAATCTGGCAGTGGCAGATGATTCATGTAGCATTTACTTCCTAGAATCAGTCTTCCCTTAGCTCAGAACCCTCTCTCCCCTCCTCCTGAAGACTCCTGGGATGTTCGACATCATTTTCCTAACTAATGTAATGCTAGCAGCATAAGGATTAGAAATAGTCCATGTTGATTGAGAAAGTGAAGTTCTGCTTTAAGTTCAGCTGTCACAAACTAGAAGCAGGCAGGCTATATTGCATTAGAGACATGCATTATCTCTCCTACAATAAAATACACCTACCTGCCTGCTCGCAGAGTGCTCCAGCATGTAAACTAAGCAGCACATGCGTAGCTCAGCTTACATCACTGCCACGGTCCCTGTGTGCCAGCATAACTGACACCTGCACATGCGCAGGAGTGACGTCATCCTGCACCAGCCAATGAAAACAGCTGAAGACCGGCAACCTGAAGAAGATGCCGGCACGGGTGAGGGATAAGGACCTATGAAGGCTAGGTAAATTTAGTTCCACTTTAAACTTTGTAAAAACTAAACTATGTGCACATATGCGCCTTTTACCATGCGCCTAAAAAAGGCACACAAAACAGCGCAAGTACAGCCTAAAGCGCAAATGAAGTCTTGCACCTTTTTGTCTCTTTATAATTCTGTATGCTACAATCTCATTCCATAACTTGCAAACGATTTTGCCAAGTAATGCCTTTACTGTGCCAGGTTTTATTTTTCATAGCTCTTCAATTCAGTAGAATACCTGGACCCACAGCTGTCCAGCAGGGAGTTTGGAAGGGATTTTCCATTTATCACTTCCTGCTTCTGCAAACAGAGCACAACACGTTGTTCAAGACAATAAAGCAAAAGAGGTATTGGATAACGATTACGCTTGCAGATAAAAAAAAAAAATGGTTTTGTTTGAAAGTAACTGGTATTTTTTTTTTAGTAAACATATATTCTATCATTAAAGGGTAACTCCACTTTCGTGGGGGGGGGGAAAAAAAAAAATACAGTGCATACAATTGTGACTCGTGTCATATTGTAATTGAATATTAAAATTACCTTTCCTTTTCAATCTGCAGCACTGTAATTTTCTGTAAAATGCAGTGCAATATGGCTACCTGGAGGTGTTCTGTACACAGATGTTGTAAAGAAAGCCCCCTGAAAATGTCATTTCCTGCTTATGTGATTGGCTCACTGATTTACCCAGAAGTCTGAACTAAGATACAAGTCAGATTTTTAGCATCCTCTGCAACAAAAGTCATTTTTGGTGAGATACTTCCAAAGGGAAATCACGTCTAAAGGGATGCAGACCCTGCCACTCTCCTCAGTACAGCCCTACAGGTGAAGCAGCTGACTGACAATTATAAAACTACTCCCATGCAGATTCACTCTATACATAACACAGACAAAGGGCTATTTCTTCAGAACAAAAAGGTTGGAATCTGCAACAAAAAGTTTGTTTAAAAAAAAAAAATCCCTGCCATGAACATAGATCACTCAGAGAGGAGTGTTTTTTTTTCTCAACAAAAGTGGAGTTACTCTTTAATAATCAAGTAATTTTTGCTACAAATTCCAAGGAAGAAAAAAATGCAGTGGAGTTAAAAATATATAAATATTTTATTTTGAAAATGAAAAGCACTAGAGGCCAAAAAGGTGAATATTGAACAATCAGCACCGACACTCCTTCCTCTCTCATTCCTGTCCACCATTTCAAGGATATCTGCACCAGAGGTGTAGATGCACCCGATTGACAGGTAATCGCTCCCACTTCCGCTTTGATTGCCCAGGCTAGGGGTGTCAAACCAGTGGCCCTCCAGCTGTTGTGAAACTGCAAGTCCCATCATGCCTCTGCCTTTGGGAGTCATGCTGGTAACTGTCAGCCTTACAATGCTTCATGGGACTTGTAGTTTGGCAACAACTGGAGGGCCATCAGTTTGATACCCCTGGCCTAGATGATCAAAAGCTGAAGTTCTCTTCCTCCCCTCCCTCCTCGCAGTCTTCTGGGACACAGGACCCAGAAAACTGTTAGACCAGCCATATGTGCAGTGCTGCTCACGCATGCGCAGTGAGCACCTGGCTGGTGAAGCTGCAAGCATTCACAGCTGGGTGCCCATAGTTAAGATGCCAACGCTGGCAACAGAGGACAGCCATGAACCTGGCTGGGGTGAGCACACCGCTGAATCGTTGGACAGGCGAGTCGCCGTTTTTTTTTTCTCAAAAAGTTAGCAGCTACAGTTTTCCTAGCTGCTGACATATTTTTCACAGGAGACTGGAGCTCCGCTTCAAATGTCTGATTTCTGTGCTTCATATACTTACAGTTGCTTCCTGGTACTGCTTGGTATGAAGAGCAGGTGACCCTCCAGCACTAACAAGAGAGGGCAGGGAGAGAGACTGCTTGGCCCTGTGTTTTGTTGCAAGCACAGATATCTCGCCAAAATATTCCCCAAAACTGGTTTAAATTTTAAAACATCTAATAGAACCTGATATATCACCACATGGGAGCAAACTGTATTGTATTCCTCCCCACTGCTCCAGATACCATGCATTTTAAGCAACAACTTCAGCAATTGAATTAAAAATAAATAACAAGAGCAGTCTATTTCCATCATTTTGTGCACAGGATCCCAGGTACTACTTACTCATTTTTTCATGCAGCCCAAATCATTTTGCTCTCTTTCAAGAGGGTATCATTCCTGCTAAAAATACAAAATTATCACCACCAATACAGAGAAGAGGGTCAATTTGAATGGCATTTTCATTTTTGAAGGCTTCTTCCTGGGACTGTATGTACCAGGTAAAGGGAAAGCAGGTACTGCGTTGGATATAAGATCCGCGCATTGTCCACCACACGCTATATTTTTGGTTCTAAATAAAGTTTTAGGCCTTTACATTTGTAGATCATTTTTCTCCATCAAATACTGAAAGCAGGAGCTGTTAAATGCATACATTCAGAGACAGTGCCAGGCACAGAGGAAGATTCAGATCGCAATTACAGAGCCAGGCACCTATACAGGATATATCTAGCTGTCTGGCAATTTAGTAAATGATCTGTAGGTTTTGTCTGTACTTGTACCCTTGTGCCTGGAGTCCTGGAATAAGCAACTGCATAAAGCTGGCAAGCATTGGCTTCAAAATTTACTAGGGATAGTTCTTCACGTAAAAGAAAAATACATTTCGACAGAAACATGCAGGCCGCCATTGCTGAATTTTTACTCTACATGCACTAGCTACCTGGCTGTTATTCTGGCTGCAAAACGTACAGAAACCCAGAGCAATTTAGCAGATCAGAACTTCACACTTTACTTGGACTTTCATTATGTGAGTACATAGGGCCAGGGACTGCAGCCAGAAAACATCCTGAAACTTGCATTTTCAGAAGGTTTGCAGTGGCAAAACTTAGAAACTGATTTTTGTTGAGCCAGGTGGTGCCAACACGGCCACCCCGGGCTCTTGTATTTTTGCAGAATTGGCGGGAATCTGCCAAAATTCCAGATTTTGATGGCAGACTTCAT